ACATTAACCACTGGCTGCTCGCTATTTTGCAGAACGCACCGGTTGATCGATTGCAATGAGAGGCGATGGAGAGGGGCATATAGGAGGCATAGAAGAGGTTGTGGTGCTCAGGTTTACTGGAAGATAAGAAGAATCGATCCAACGAGACAAGGACTGCTGCAGCGTGGAGCGGAGACTATGAAGGAATGCAGCAACGGGATAGAGCACTTTCACGCAGGGTCACTTCATCAAACCAGACGGAGAGTAAATCATGCTTTATGTTCGGGCCGTGTCCAGCGCCTTGTCAGAAAATTAAATCCACCGGAGAAAAGGACAATGGAGGCTGATTCAATCTGAAACTTTTGTTGGAAGCGACTTATGTAGGATCAAGCCACAGCTGTGTCTTTTGTCTCATGAGATCAATGGGAAAGGGTGTAATGACCAGAAATGACTAACCAAGTAAAGTAGCTTGAAATGTGTTGATACGCAACTCCTTTCACAAAGCATGGCAGCGAAATGACCACAAGACAATGACGTATTGATTTGGCGTGTACAGAATTAACTCTCAAGCTGGGTTTTGCCAAAAGTTGAGACGAAAAAGTGTGTGTCCATAGTCCAGGAATCCCATTGGAAACAGCAGATGATGTTGGGTCCATTCACCTCTCCTGCCTACGCTTCTTGAATTAAAAATGTAAAGTGGTTAGAGGGGCTGCAGACACTTCTCTGTATGGCAACCCCAAAGATGTTAGAAATGTGAATTATTGAGAATCTTCAAGTCGATAGCTCAGATTACATGAGTGTCCAAATGGAAAACATGCTAATATGTCTCCTCTTATGAAAGATCTATATGATATGTTTACTACTGGCATAAATCGTTGCTAGTCCACAACCTATGCTCACCCTTGATTGGGGTTTTCAACAGTAGCTAAAGCTAACATGAAATAATTACATAGGACTACATCTAGACTGGCCACTTACAATTCCAGTAAATTGAAAATGATTTATGTTTCGTGGAAGGTTGCATAACTGTATTCAAGCCTCAGGGTCGAAGTCTGCATAAATCACGTTCAATAGTCCAAAAGTGCGGAGGAGAAGTTGTCAATAGATGTAGCTTTTCTGCTCTGCCTGCTCCAAGATCAGTCAATGCAAGCGATTCACTGATGGAGTAATTGTCCATATTATGTTGGATCTGTCAGGAGCGGTATTGCCGTGTACTGCGTAAAGCTTACAGTGACAAGGAGATCAGAGGAGCTTTGTAGAAATCAAACCATAAGATAGATTGACAGACAAGTCTAAGAACAAGAGGCCACTGAAGATACAGTTTTTTATCTTTGTTTGATGGATGTATCAAAGAACCAGATGGAGCAGCCTCGTCTATAGGTTACAGGCCAACTTCTAAAATGTTGCGATTATGTAGAGAGTTGTCTTAATTGTACTCAACATGCCGAAAAGCAGCGTTGGGAGTATTAGCCTTGGGCGTTGTTCCTGTCATCACATAGATGTAAGCATAGGCTATTGAAGCATCTACATTTCTCTATTCATTTACATCGGACAAGAATTACACACTCTTAGTTCAGAATCTGCACGGTCATGCCTTTCTTCTGCTTCTACAATTTAAGTTTTGTAAAATGTTTTGAGCAAATCAAACCATAACATGCTTCATCTTATTATTACAAGTATGCATATTATCTTTTGCATACTTGTAAGAAAGAGCTTTGAGTCCCCAAACTGCTTGCGAGCCAACTGAGGTTCCATGGATTTTATTAGTTAAATGCTTTGAAAGTCTGATAACCCATCTTGTCTGTATCTCTTACATTAAACATGCTTATATTCTAATCACTGAGAACTAGTGGATTTGTGGCATTGCCTTCTTAGTTGATTAATGGATGGACAAACTAGTTCTTTTCCAGCCCTAATATACAAGCAATTGCTCGGATCTTCAGTTATGGACCAAAACATTATGACGATGTACCTTATTCGGCGTGGTCTCCTGTTTAAACACAAACACCACCGCTCTCTGATCTGATTGGCAAAAGTGTTGAAGCAAAACTGGGGTTACTTTTCTGACAACTCATCAGTAAAGATAAAAAATGTGCAGATAGTATAACTGCCAACCATTTGATATGCTTTCAAATACTGCATCTACTTAAGCTTCCATCCCAACAGTGTTTTCCAACATGGGTTCTTTCATGTTACAGTCTTGTGTAGCTGCATGTATAGACATTCACACACATGTATCTGACTAAAACAGATCTATACAGCACCCTACATCTCCTCCTCTTTTCCTTCTGTACGTGCGGAGCCGTCAACACCTCTTGAAAGAAGAACTGTTTTTGACTGACATCCAATAAACTCGGCTCAGATAAACACCGCAAAGGCAGGGCTCCAGATAAGCCGTCAGAAGCGGAGTTATTAGTGAGAATGGAAAACACATTGAACAGCAACGACATGGAAATAACAGCATGAGGATCAGAAAGGAATGGTCTGGGGCTGTTTTCCACGACCGATGAGGATACAAGAGTCAGGGCATGGCACCCGCACCTCTGCCATCGCAATGAGTGTAAATAGTATAAATGGTTAAAGTTTATATTCTACATTCAAGAGGCAATTCCAACAGCCCTGATGTCATCTATCTATAATGCACGAGCGTCTGTCTGCGGCTCGCGTATCTCGCTGGATGTCAGATCGACCAACCCTTTTAGATTCGGCTCGCACATGGCACAATGCTGTCTTTTATTCTTGCATTTTTATTTGGTGCATTGTCAATGCTTTCACTGTGAAGTATTACATTTAAACAATGCAACTAAAAGCTGTGGTCCCTAACTTCCAACTTTCCAAATCTCACTATGAAATAAATACTTGCTAACTAGTTTTGTCGCACTCAAACATTTTGACTCTAACTAGTATTTCTTGCATGCATGTATTATTCTGGCTGCTGTCACATATTTAGATCAGCGTAAGACAGAAAAGTGAAACCGGGAGGACCACCCTCACTCAGCCAATCAGCTCCAGGCCCAAGAAAGTCACAGGGCTCTTCCTTAAGTACATACAATATGTTTTAATAATATGAAGATAGAATGCTGGGGTCGGATTTATTCACAACGATCTACTTTTACAAGTCTCTTTCTGTTGGGACAAACAGTAATTTGTTTCCAGTAATTGTTTGTAAAAAAAAATATTATTGCTACAAAAATACAAATACAATTCCAAATTTACAGACAAACAAATGTCTATGATTTCAGCTTTAAGCTCTCACTGGAATCCACTCTTCCTTTGGGCACTGGATTCTATGGTAAATAATTATAATAGCCATGTCTCATACCAGGTTTGAGATAAGAGCATTTTGACTGAAGGGCCAGGGGGATGTGGTGATATACATCTGAATTGCTGGAGCTAAAAACAACTGGATAATATTGTTGTTGAGGGAACAATGCCGTAACATGGTTAAAAGCTCCAGCCGATTTAGCATAATAAGTATCACTCTTTTTCCATTTTGCCTGGCAACACGTGCCTCTAATTATGAGCCATTTCTCGCTGATGCGGTTCTGATCTGTCCCAATTTTTTTTCCATGAGTGTCTCCGGCATGCTGGAGCTCACCCAAACATAATGCAGTAGGTGGCACATTGCTGGCACTGTCTGGCACATATGACAGAGTGTCCTTGGGCTAACGTTGGACCCGTCACCTCTCCTCTCCACCGGCCGTGACACTGCAGACCTCACCACAGGCTCCAGGCGACGTCGCACCTTTTCAACAACGGGACATCGACCCTCACCTCACCCCGCACGGGTTCACCAAATCACTGAGAGGACCTGTGAGTTTAAAGCTTGTATTTCAGGGAAATGCTGAACAGAAGAACTATTGTATTATCTCCTTGTTTTTTCTGTTGGGAAGACAATGATGAGAGATAATTTGTAGAACTGCATTCAGGCTCAGTTAACTTTGAAACCACGAACAATGAACTACAGTATGAAATAACCATGTGGCGTGGTCTTATCTGTCTGGTGCACATTGAGTTGGTCTTGCACCGTTTTTCCAATGTGGTTTTACTGCAAACGGCAAATACATTCTCGTATCTTGCAAGCAGTTCCCATTTCTCGAAACAGTTTCCACATACATTAATTTTTGGCCTATGTAACATCTTCAGATCAGCTTTTTCAGACAAAAAAAAAGTATCGAGATGAGCTATACTAAATATTTACTTATTTTGAGTTGTGCGCCCCTTATTCCTACAGTTCTGTAAATTGTGATGCAACACTGACATTTCCCCACTGTAGGACTACTTTTAGAATTATGTATGTATTTTTTGTGTGTTTCTGCTGCTACTGGACACCTGAATTTCTCCTATATTAGTCAATAAAGTATCCATCTATCCATCTACAGTATCTATCGATCCATCTATATATACAGAATATCTATCTATCAAGTACAAAAGGATTTCTTAATCTTAAATGCACTATGAATAAATACGAGTTTGTTTGTTAGTGGACCATTGCAAATTTGTCTCCGTTTTCACAATTCATTTCACTGCTGTTTACTTCCTATAGCGGCAGACTAATATTTTCTCACAGCTTTCTCCTATACGTCTTCATTCCGCAGCTTTCTGTTTTCAGGCTTGAGGCTAAACCGCTGCTAACGCTCTCACAGTCACACTTGTATAACCTTCATCATGCGCCCTAACAAAAAGCACAGAAATCCAATAGTATATCTCCGGTTTTCTTCTCGCTTTCTACTTCTCTTTGTATTCCGGCACTGTCTTATTTACACTCCCGGTGGAATAATTTCTTTGTGAGCAGCAGCAAATGCCTGCAATTTGCACGTCCCGTTATGACAACTATCTCGGAATCTTCGCGACACGTTTTTTACACAGTTTTAGCTTTTGTTCACGCAAACAATTCCCCCTATAGAGTCCATTCTTCCCCTCCCAAACCCTGTGCTAACCATGACTCCCATGTTGTTTGTAAGGATTCTAAAATACTCGTTGCTCCCTCTGCGCTTTCTTGTGTATTTTTGCGTACTTACTTGCTGTTTTTCTCCTCCTCCCTCTCGCCGCTCTGTGATTTCTTCTTAATCTCTCCTTTTGGCTCTTTTTTCAGATGTCAGTATAGCAGGGAAAGTTGGCTTGGATGGAGGTCACATTGGGCTGAAAGAGAAAGAAGAAAAGAACGTTTGAGACGGAGAAAAATATCATATCATATTCACGTAAATCCAGATCCACAAGCAGATAAATGATGAATTGTGGGTTTTTTGAGGAGAGAAATGAGTGGAATTTGCAATTGGCTGTGAATCTTTAGCACGTGGATTTTTGCTTGAATTCTGTTATTGCAAAGTTAAAAGGGCTGTTTATCTTCTGTGATATATATTTGAAAAGAAAGATGCTTGGAATTACGTCTTGCTACTTGAAACCTTGAATCGATATCATTGTCAAAGCTGGTGATTTTACTCCTGCACAGACAAACGTAAAAAGCCAAATCCTTCTCTGTAAGACCTCACGTCAAATAACAATTGTTGGTTGTTGTTAATAGAAAGTTTGCATGAGTTATGAATGTTTCAAAATAGAAAGAGATTGCTGTACATGGGAGGGCATTACAGGGCAGGTTGGAATGCTTTTGCAATCATTTGGCAAGAGACAAGATGGAAGCCCCCTCAATCGCTGCATCACTGACAGTGGATTATGACTTTTAGAACTGTCCGAGGGAATGAGGAGAGTAAAGTACCATTCACTTGTGGAAATATATGTGGTACTATTGATTAACCAAGACCATAATCCATAGATACTGTATGTACATTCTGTGTCAATGGGATTCAAATCAATGAAAAATGGGAGAAAACAATTAAAAACACAATATATTATAGCTTCTGAATAGGAAAAGTGTAATTCCACATTAAGCCCTGCTGTGTCAAATGTGACTGCGGCCAAATTAACATATTAAAGATTGAGAAAAGAAAAAGACAATTAATTAAAACTATTGTCCCCGTAGGGAAATTTGTCCTCTGCATTTGACCCATCCTGATGCCACTAAGGCTTATGTCAGGAGCAGTGGTCGCCGTAGTAACAGCGCCCAGGAATCCATCTCCAGATGTTAATGCTCGGCTTGGTCAGGACTACCGGAGCTGGAGGATTTTACCTAGTGAGCATATTTTTAGTGGTAGGGGAAACCGGAGCACCCGGAGGAAACCTACGCCGACACGGGGGGGACATGCAAACTCCCACCCAGGACCTTCTTGCTGAGAGGCAAGAGTGCTATCCACTCAGCCACCATGCTGCCGTTATTTCTTTTTATGTATTTTTTTTATTTTTTTTGTAAATGAAACTCTTGTCTTATGTGCTCCTCATTCCTACTGTTCTGTAACCGGCAATATTTCCACATTTTCCAGAACACTGACATATGAAGAATCTCTAATCTTAATCTAGTTGATATCAGGCTTTTCCTACACACTGTATATAAAATCAGGAGTAACAGTCTCTCCTGGCACTTTTGAGCGATGAACCGCGGCCTGACACACACCTCTGCAGCCACAGGCCACAGCGCTCCACACTGCAGCTCATATAACAAAATGCCACAGCGTGTGACTTTATGGGCCAGGACCGGTGTCAACATCAATGGATCAGTAATCACAATGGGAGCGCCCCGAGCCATGTTGATCCCATCCCCACCGTGGACTCAGTGCGGTGACAGCAAAAAAAGCACGGCGAGTTCATACACCGGGGTCAATAAAGCAGGCGTTTGAAATCGAAAAAAAATAAAGCCAGCTATATACGCCTTGCGCAATGTGGCGTGAAGCTGACTTGACGCGCAGTATCGACGAGAGAGCTTGTGATGTGAAAAAGCCTTTATTGATCTGAAAGAAGACAACAACAAGGGTACGAAAAACACAGCAACTTTACACCGTCGTGGCGTCGAAAACCGTGCGATCACAAAAACGCCCGTGTTGTTGATCACGTTCACATTGAAGTCTGGGCTCCGCGGGACGTCTGGAGGTGATGGCTTTTATGTCGGCTCTAGTTTCAGATCTGTCCCTGAGAGACACTCTTGGATATATTCTAACGCCTTTTTTGTGGATGTTTTATTTTTTTCTCTAATAAACACACATGTTTTTGCAGATCTAATCCGGCAGATCCAGTCCTCTTCGTGGCGCCGAGGTAATGACAAAATCAATCTCATTAACTGGAGCTGACCGTAGATGCACTAAGCTCTGGAACATTGAGAGAAAATACTGGGGGGGAAATGGGAATGATGGTTTTGATTTTCTGTGCTCATATTTGTACAAAAATTTTTCACCAGGATATTACTGAAGAGTGGGAGAGTCTAGGGACAGTGAGCAACCGCAACAGAAAAACAACACTAAATAAATTAAATGTATTATGTGTGAGAGTGATGTTTGCGTGACTGTACGTGTGATTATGACTTGGATCCAAAAAAAATGCATACATATAAATATATAAAACTGGTAAAGGGGACAAGGAAGGGAAGCAATAACTTATAATAAGAGGAAAAAACTAAATATAAACAAGATCTGATTCCTAAAAAACATTCTAATTTATAACTGAGTGAGTCAGAGCAGAATTTATGTCCAAGGGAATGCAACAGCCAACAGAGAAAAACAAAAAAGTTACACAGTACATCCTTTGACAAGTTGTCAGAATATTCGAGTCGAGCTGAAAACTTTTAAAGAGAATTGTGAAGGAAAAAAAGAGATATGGATTTGGCCACAACACAATGGAACCACTACTCACAGTGTTACTTACAATCCTGCCATGCATCAATGTACTTCCCAAAGGCACACATAAAAAACAATATTCCAAATCATTTTATCCAAACAAAAACTCATTTAATCCTTCAGTTTACATCAGCAGCAGCAGCAGCAACAACAGCAGCAGCAGCAGCACGGAAACTGCTGCTATCACATTTCTGCAGGGATTAAATCAATAACTATTCTATGTAACTGTTGTGCAGTAAAAAGAGAAAAAAAGTGATAAATATATTCAAACCTATGTTCAGAATCCGTTTAGTTTAATTAAATCTGCTGGAAAAAGTGAATTTGGACTTAAGCTAAGACCTCACGCAAACGGCAACTTGTGTGAACCTGACTGTGTGTGTGTGTGTGTGTGTGTGTGTGTGTGTGTGTGTGTGTGTGTGTGTGTGTGTGTGTGAGCAGAAACAGCCTGGCAAAGTGCTTAACCTACAAGTGAGCTTCTCCACCAGGGACTGAGGCAGCGAAACTTTTAAAACAGCCCTCAAATCACTTTCAAACACTGGAAAAAACGAAATACGCACCCGCTACTGCGTGCACGAGACCAGAGGGGAGGGGGAAGAGAGTACTATGACAACGCGGCACTCTTGGATATCTGCGCACTGAGATTCTTCCTAAATAAGTAAGTCATCCAGACCTCACATTTCCACTGGATCTGTCCAAAGCAGCAGCGGTGCGGCCAAAATCCCTCCGAGGCTACACAAAAACATGAAAAGAGAACGAAGGGCGGAGGGTTGAAGAGAGAGAAGCTTTGAAAATAGGGAAATTTAAAAGGAGCACCTGCGAATACTGAGTGGTATTATGGACGGGAGCCAGTGTCGAGAGAATCAGCCATGACTAACAGTTTCAAAGGTCTGAGTAGGAGAATCTGGATGTCTATGGATGTGTAAAAGAGACGTTGTTACGATAAATATGCTGTTTATAGTTTTCTGATGTGTTTGGAAGCGATACTATACTTTGTTAACTGGATTATACCAACTCCCAGTACCTGCTAAATATACAAAAAGCCAGCTGCATCAACATTGATATACTGATGCAGCTGCAGCTGAGGGGTTAGCACTCTCGCCTATCTGCAAGAAGGTCCTGGGTTTGATTCCACTTTCAGACGAATCCTTTCAGAGTGGAGTTTGCATGTTCTGCCTGTGTCTTTGTGTAGGTTTCTTTTGGGTGCTCCTGTTTCCAGTACCACTAAAACATGCACTTTGTCCCCTCTCTCTTCTCTCTTTTGGGGATTCTGAAATCTCAGTTGGACTCAGTACTGGTTAAATGAAGATCAATAAATAGGTTATAAGTTGATTAATGGTATACATATATATTCATAGACTGTATCAATATCTCAACATAATTTTTGGATTTTTTTTTCCCTCTACTTCTTTAAATTGGTTTGTTTTTTCATTATAATTTGTTGTTGTTGCATCTAGTAGCTTGTAAGTAGCTCTCAGTGCGCAAATATGTTTTGCCAAATCAAATTAAACAGCAATCAGGTGAAAATGAGTCCGGCCTCCACAGTAAGCCGATATCTCAAAGTTTCCCCCAGCACAAAATAATTGCCTTTCCCTGATCGAAAAGGAAATAAGCACTGCCACGTACAAATAGAGATCTTTTCATTCAAGTTTCACAAAAGGAACAGCTGTAGTGTTGGTAGTATTTGTAGTCACGGTCATTTAGCGGTCAGTTTTGAGTCCGTCATCTCCTCCTAATGCTTATGCACACAGCTGCGTCCGGCCGTCCTCCATCTGAGCTCTGCCCATCACTTCCCATTGTCAGAGCCCATACACTCTTAATTGCACGTCCCCAAATTAAATATTGTAGCAGCTGACAGCCCCTTGATGAGCCCAATGAAAGACAAGTCGACCGCTTCCCGTTCCCTTTTGATGGAGACGCTACGAGACACGTGGAAGGCCAGCTTGACGATCGTAGGGTCTGCCTTCGTCTGCAGAATGTGGGCAATCTCTGCTCTAATCAGCGCCACAATTGCAAGAGGCATGTGGCAATAAAGAGCAACATAATGCCTGCCAGTTCCCATTACCGCCAAGCACTTTCGCCAAAAAGAACCGGCCGCACACAACCCGACACTTAACACGTATTTGTCAAGACGGACATCTGGACAAGGTCACAGCTCCATTTGAAGCAATAAAAGGCCCGAAGAGCACGCCCACTACTCCTCCCACCGCGGCTCACCTCACCTCTGTGGTCTGGGAAAGGAGAGAGAGATTCAGCAGGACTTTGCATCTATGTCCAAAATACAGTTTAGTTTTGATATGTGGACTTTTGGAAAGACCAGAGCAGTTCTCAGAGGTCATGGTTTGAGAGTGGAGTTAGTCAAGCAGAGAATACCATGAGCTTTGAGGAGGTTCATGGCGTTTAGGTGGGATTTAAGAAGGTAGTTTTTCAATGATATGTTGACAATTGAACGTGATGTTTTGCTACAGTCTTGCTGAATGAATGAAAACTTAGGCTGAACCTCTGCTTCATCTCCAAAAGGTTAATTTCACTAGTTTAAGTGATGGCAAGTTTAGTTTTACAGCCTACAGACGAAACACCTCTGAATTTCTGGTCAATTTCAACATTATATTTTATATTTCAAGCAGAACAGTTTGCCACTGTCTTAAGATATAATATATCGTAATCATGCCAATAACAATGACAATAGTATGATAAGTTTATGAAATCATGTTACTGTACCTCTCATGGCAATAAAAGAGAAAAGGATTTCTGATTCTGTTTATCTAGAATAATGATCTAATTTCAAGTAATTATGTAAGTATAGCTGCAGTAGTAATGTCTTTATCTAAAAAGCATCACAATATTTTACAATATAACACAAATTAGAAGGAGTGAGAGTGGTGGAAGAATTATTCCAAGCAGAAACTGTATTATGAAAAGTAGAAATATTCTATTTTGGTAAAATCCCGAGCTTTTTCAAACACATCACAGGAGAAAATAATAATTTACGGCATGTATATCGAGGTCTTCCGGGGGCCAGCTCGCTCACCAGGCTCCGCTGCCCATTTAATTTCCATTGTCATTTTTGAGAGAGCACTAATAACCTCAGAGGCTCCAACCAATATCTCTGGTCAAAAACCTCAGCAAACCTCAACCTGGCAGCTCCGAACAGGAAATGAGAGGATGGTGGAAAGTGGAAATCTAAACTCACAATCGCTTTATCGCACTACAAATTCTTTTTCCATTGCTCAAAAACAAAAGGCTTTTTGGAGAGATTGCGTCGAGCTGGCTCCCACCGAGTGCGGTGCCAAAGGGCTGGATAGCATCTGTGCACTGGGCTGTGGGTTTGTAGCTGGGAGCATGATGAATGAAGCTGGGCCAAAAGGCAAAAGTTCAACAAGGAATACTTTGATTCAAACATCGATCGCGGAGCAGGATTAGGATTTACATGGATCGCTGGTTCAAATGCATTATGTATGATAGCGCCTCTGTCATGATAAATAATAGATCAAACAGGTTGAGAAAGTGGTTGCTTAATAATAGTACAAGTCATCTTTCAACCTTAGCTTGTATGTGTTAATTCACTGCAAGAATGGATAAAATAATCAGAGAGGAGTTACCATAGTTACCATATTCCAAGTCAGAATGTTGTAGTGGCTTGAAAAGCAGGTTACTAGCCTTAACGTTTTGGGTCTCCTCCAGGTCATAACATTAACATAACAAGTTCATTTTGCTTTTCAGACAAAAATCCTACTGATCATGTCGTGGTTTAGGTTTATTTAGGTTTTGTTTTGTAATTTGTTAACCCCTGTGTCTTCTTTAGTTGTACTTCCTGTTTCCTGATTACTTGCCCCGCCCTCATTTGTATCACCTGTGTCTCGTTAGTCTTGTATTTAAACCATAGACTGTAAATATTAACGGAGGTAGTCACATCTATCTCCGCCATTCTAACTAATGTGCCACAACTTCTGCGGTCTACGGGCAGTTTCAAAATGGCCGCGGGGGCTGGAAAATGTGAAAAAACACATCTGCGCATGCGTCAGCTGCACGAGCCCCATTCATTTAAACGAGAAACTTCAAAAATTCACAGCGACTAAACCAGAGTGGTCCAAAAGAATTCACTCCCCTCAGCATTGACACACATGTGGAACGGAGCTTTGGGCCAAGAGCCAACTTTTGGACCATCCTGTAAAGGAGTTTTTGCGAGGTAAGAATATGCTATATGTTAGCATTAGCTAATTCTTATTCCGGGTTGACCCCCATCGGCCCGGGGTGGTATTGCAGCATGTCAGCGCACGTCATTTTGGCCACTTTTGAGCCGGGACCCGCCCCCACTGGTTTACACCCTGTTCCTGTCTTCAATCCCCCTTCAGTTACTTTTTGTGTTTTCACTAGATTTTTTTTATTAAATCCATTATTTTCTCAGTTCTGTTTTTTGAGTTATTTTCGTTTCGCCCCCGTGACAGATCAAGACAAATGTGACTTCTTTCACGCATTTCTTTAACTTATTTTTTGCACAGTTTCCATCTACAATAAAAGACGTTTTTGTATCCTTGTTTGCTTAGAGTTGTGAATGTTTTTTGATATGACAGATACAGTTAATTTTGACCTATTTTTGTCCTGCCACTCCTCCTCCCGTTATCCCCAACTCCACACCCATCCCGCCCGAGAGACCGAGCAATTACACGCAGTACAAAGACCACTGTCAAAGCTGCACTAATAGAACAAAAGCGTTTTGTGCACGTCTGTTTGAAAGCTGGTCGTCATAACCATACCAAAAATACACATTTAACAGACTTGAGCTTGTTAGAAGTATCTCTCCATACTTCTCCAAGGTTTGGGTGGTTCCTAGCTATTTTCCTGGATACATAATGTGTTTTACACCAGCAGAAAAAGTCTTGTATAAAAAGATCAGAACACATCATGCTGTCTTTATCTTAACAGAAAACTTGCCATCTTTTGCATTGCAACATCGAGCTCTGTGAGTCATTAAGATTAAGAGATCCATCATTCGTCCCACAGCGGGGAAATACAGTACGAATGAGGAGCACACAGCACAAGATAATTCTTTATTTAAAACTGTTGATTCTCTGATCTGTGTTGTGATTTTCAATGGTTGAGATGACTTCTGTTGTGACCTAGGGCTATACAAGAATAAATTGTATTCTATTGTATTGTATTTAAAAAAAGAATGTTTATGGTATATTTGGTCGGGACAGTACATGTTAATGAACACATCACTCCGGATTGTAGCCATGGGATAATTTGCATCCGTTGTCCCACATTTGCATTCACAAACACACACTCATTCACCCTGAACTATTGCACATGTTTTTAGTGGTAGGGGAAACCGGAGTACCTGGAGGAAACCTACGCAGACATGGGGAGAACATGCAAACTCCACTCAGAAAGGCCCTATTCCGACTGGGATTCAAACCCAGAACCTTCTTGCTGAAAGGCGAGAGTGCTATGAAGAATATCTCTTAAAAAATAAATAAAACAATCTCTAACTCTTGCATAAAAAGAAGCAGTATAAAATCTCTTCAGCATAATGAGGAAGGAAGACTAAAATCTCCAACTTTAGTATGAGGAAGACACAAGAATTAAGTACAAAAACCTCTGACTTTAGCATTAAGTCTCTCTGACCCACAGGGCAGAGATCTGATTGGCTGAGGGCGGGCAATCCTGTTTTGCATTTCTGTCTAAAAAAGCGGACCTAAAGACATGACAGAGGCTAAAAATACATGTGAAAACTAGTGATATTACATACATGTTTGTTTGAAAGTTCAATACCCCAGCTTCAAATCAATGTTTAACTTCTACCCCCACAAAAATATGTAAAAACACAAACAAAAGACTCGGAGAGCATGACATCACTCCTTTGCCTTTCACTAATTGGCGATGAAACTTGCATCCAGACCGACAGAATCCTGAACCAACCTTCATGTTTGAGCAGCTGACTTTCTCCAAAGGCCAATGCAAACAGGCTTTCCCTTTGCATCTATGTGCCAACTGAATGAGGCGGCAGGAGTTCAACGTGCTCAGCGGTACACCAGCGCGACAAGCCCCATCAATACTGCTCTTCAAAAACTCATATCTCTGCAGCAGTAGCGCAGGGCAGTCGGTATTTCTCACACAAGACAAATGGCGCTACGTCAACTCTAACTCGGTCATTGTGCAGAGGGCTGAATGATCGATCCGCCAGTGCTGGGGGATTTCAATACGAGAGAATTATTACTAGATTTTGGTTTGTGGATGGTTTCATATAATGGTTAGGAGTGGATAGAGATGGATCAGATTAAATAGTATTTTGATTTGGTTCAGTTTTTTTTGCTAAAAAGAGGGCGACCTCAAGTGAAACTGTTCAAGCTGATTGAGCAAATCGTCATCTACTAGCCGCCTCCCAGAGATTTGGATCAACCAAACAGCGACAACGCACGACAATGACATACCCACAGTGCAACTTCTTCAATCAGTCACAGGGTAACTCAAAGCGCTTCACAGGCACATCACACAAGGCACAAATAACCAGTACAGCTAATAAAAAACATTAAAATCACACAAGTAATACAAAACATAAAACATCTTCGTTATGGCTCTATAAGGCAAAAATGTGTCTTTCTTCTTCTCTTTCCCCATATTGCTGAGCGCTCGTCAAGACCACACTACTTTTTTTTAAAAAATTTGACAATGTTATGTTATTATCTATGTTAAAACTGCAGATATGAGAGGGCATAAAGCTATTGAGCTAAAGATGAGGCCTTTTTATGATTCACAAGTCTAATTATCACTGTACTGCTCCATAATGCGTATATATAAGCAGTAATCATACTGTAAGGGCTTTTTTTCAGGAAATGATTGTGTAGTATAAAGCATTAATTATGTCACCCCAGAATGTATTTGTTCAATAAAGAGTGTTTTATGGCACTACAATTTTCTCGATACAGCTACAGCAGGGATCTCCAACCTGTAGCTTGGGAGCCACCAGTCGCTCGCCAGTCCCTTCCACGTAGCTCGCCAAAGGATTGAGAAATGAACAAACCAAATAATATACTTAATATACAAGATTGTATTACCCATTATCATTATTTGTAATTGTAAATGCACAAACGTTGGGCACTAGTTACACATAAGCAATGATAAATAATGAATATACCCAATATCAGGCTTGTTCACGCCAATATATAACCACATTTTTTCCAGGGCGGCTTGAAGGAGTAGCTCTCAACCTTTATCGTCCCGGGAAAGTAGCTCTCTGGATGAAAACGGTTGAAGACACCTGACCTACAGAGACTATACGTTTCAAGCAAACTAATAAACATTGGCGCTTTCTTCGTGCCATGTATTGAAATCCCCAAATCTCCAATCCTGTGATATTTGCTGTTTACATAAGGAAACTCGACGTGAGGGATGGAGAAGTGCCTTCAGCCGGGGCCTCACCACGAACAGAGGATTTATCCCAATATTTGTCTCATAATAAAGACTAAGCCAAACAAATCCATCGTGCTGAGGCGCTCGCTGCGGTGTACACCTGACCGCTGCTCTGCTCAGCACACAATCCCAACAACAAGCAGGCAAGTCCGGAGCTGCGGAAAAACCTGGAGTGCTGCGAAAGCCATAAAAAGCGCCCGCGGCAGCAGCAGTAAACATGTTATCCCTGTGTTAGTGATGTAAGAAGGATAAGCTTTACCGCCAATATGGGCAAAGTGACAATATGGGAAGAGATGGAAGAGAGGTTGAACATAGTGGTACGTAACACATAGAGATTGTACAGTTTCCAGCTAAACTCCAGCAGGTGGTTTGCATCAGTAATCACGGCTTAGGAGCTTCGTGTGTCATAGTGACTAATGACTTTAGTCTTCCTGAAGATGTAAGACAGGCCTCCTCTCTGACAATGTTTAAAACCAGGTTAAAGACAGTTCTGTTTAGCTGTGCATACAACTGAGGGATTTTATATTTGTATCTTTCTTTTTAATGTTCTGTGATTATTTATGATTTTAATGCTTTCTTGTTTTGTTCAGCACTTAGAATTGCCTTGTGTATGAATTGTGCTATATAAATAAACTTGCCTTGCCTTGCCTTTATTGGACCGCTAAGAATGCATAAGGCAAGCAAGGTTCCATCCATAGATTGTATATATTAACAGACGTAGTCACGCCTATCTCCGCTGTTGAAACTAATGTGCCACCACTTTTGGCTTCTATGGGCTTTTTAAAAATGGCAGCGGGTAGCCCCTCCCGAAGTAAAATGTGGAAAAAACGCATTTGAACATTTTACGAGTGCCTTCTGAAGTCCACAGACTAGACTAGACTGGTCCAAAAGATGCCATACAAAAGCATTGGATAGTTTTCTTTCCGGGTACACCCCCACCGGCCCGGGAGTAGTCATTGCAGATGCTCATGGACCTTTTTGAGACGGGACCCGCTCCTACTGGTTCCACCCAGCGGCTACTTCACCTCTGCTGCTGTGACCTTATTACTATTGTTAGCTATTGTTGTTTAGTTTGTATGGTTGTACAGTATGTGCTTCTGCTGCCACTGGACACCTGCATTTATCCTATGGGGGATCAATAAAGTTTCTATCTATCTATTAGCTCGAAGAGAGATGCACAGAAAATCCCCACTTTTGACATGCAAATGATATACTCAACATTACTGAAATTGCCAAACCAGTGTTGAACAAGCTTTACACTGGGCCTTGACTTCGATGTTGGGTTCTGCTGTGCGGTAGACCAAAACTATGGAAATATGTGGCAAAATAACCTCTATTTTTCAAAACATTGCTATCTTTATACTATTTGCAATGCAGCATCATCTTTTCTTTTTAGATTATTATTGTTTGATTGCTGCATTATAATGTTTTTGGGGGAAATCGACAAGAATGCTAATGCAGACAGAACAACACTCGTAAGAATATAGTACAGAAGAGAGAACAGAGACGAGCTGTGATTGAAAGTGCGTCAGGGGACTTTTTGGAATCTATATTTTTGAGCGTTACACAGTGTCTCCTTCGCTCAGTGGGAGCCGAGAACAGGTCCTTCTCCAGCCGTTAATATCCCCCATCAGACCTTCATCATTAGGCCTAAAAAGTCTCGTAATACGTGCTCTTACTTTTGTTTTTGTGGACTGTTCGTGCAGAGCAGAGACTCCAGTTTCATGGGCTACCTTGTCCAGCTGAAATAGCAAAGAGTCCAAATCTCTGCGTGAGTGCTGGGGTCTTGACACAGAGGAATGACTAATATATGGACGCTTTCCCTGGACTCTAATGCAAACTCTACAATAAAGCAGTATTATTAGTGGAGTTACTGTTAAGTTCACTAAAGCAGTTGAATACTGGATAGGTTACTCTAACTAAAGCTTTTGTATTTCTGAATGGCAAAAGTCAACCCTTACATAACGCCAGTCTTGTTTGAGTAACATTTTGAGAACAAATCGGACCACAAAAGGCTGTCTTCAAAACATTTCTTACACTGAAAACATATATACTGAAATCAGCCTGCTACTGTCTGTATGATAAAGGCCAAAAATGGAAAAAACTAGTCATAGAATCAAACTGTTTTGAGAGGAGCTAGTAACACAGTGATTTTGTTTTACCTTTTGTGTGGTGTCAAAGTTAGGTAATCCAGCTTTAATTGGGAGAGTGGACAGTGTATGGGCAAGATATTATCTGACAAGTGATGAGATAATTGAAAAAGAAGTAGACCTCCAAATTCCAGAAATAACATTAAAGAATTGTATTATGATTTTACCCATAACTCGTCTATTTGGAGAAATTGGATACATATATAACCTAAATTGGACATAAAACTAAATGCTACTACTACTACTACTCCCTACTAATAAACCTACTACTACTACTACTACTACTACTACTACTACTCTCTTGGTCCCAATCGTAACACTATGCACATTCAGGAGACAGAACCGTCACGAGTTCCTTGCATTATCTCATTATCCCACTCCCCAATGACTCTGGCGCTCCACCCTTCGGGCCCCTAATGGTTCAGTGTGGAGAGCAGACAGGGGCCCATAGTAACTGCAGAGGCCCCAGGGACACCAGCCAGAGCTTTGGGTCCCAGTCAGACTGCAGCCTCCGGGGGACAGAGGCGACAGCAGCGAGACACCTAAACAAATGAGATCAGTGTTCCCATTACTACAGGAAGTTACCTCAGCCCGCCCCCAGACTGCTACGGCCGCGACCTTGCGCCGTACGGATAATCCTAATTCAATTTCACTGGGTCAGCAAACCCAAATTACTGACTATTTAGCTTTCTTTCTTTTTTTTTTTGGGACAGGTTCTGTGTTTGCCTGCAGCAGCAAAGGGAAAAAAGAAAAATATCAAAGCTTCAAATACAGCATATAGCTTCAACCATTACACCTCTCATTTTGACAAACAAATACAGTGTGACTCATTTGGAAAAGCTTGGAACGAATTTCTGTGATTTTAACAGTTTATTATTTGCAAGGAAAGTGACATTTTTTGTGGGCGAGGTTTGAAAGTAAATAAGTAATACATCGTCCATGTATTTAGGCGGTGCACTGCTAACGCGATCAAGCTAGTATGAATGAAAAAATGCATTTATTTATCTTATATACTATTATTCTATATCAGAGATATAAATTCATGTTTTGTGTATTTGGCTTCACATTGTTCACATTTTTTTGGTTTTGAAACGTTTACAATTACTCTTTATGTAACTTGTATTGTATATACGTAACATCAATACTTCTGTTTATAATCAATGTTCTTTTGATATTACGACATTTTTCTTTCTACACATTTTCAATCAACAAAATTCACCGATATTGTTGTAATTTGTATCGGCAAACTCAGGCTTGTGGGCCAAATCCGGCCTGCCAGACAACTTTTAGTGGCCCTTATAATTTCAACCCAACACATCGTTAGAAGTTAAATATAAAACAATGTGTTGAACTTTATATTTGGTCCACCTTTGTTTAAATCTAAACAATAAGCGTTTATTTTCAGAGAAATCAACCAGAAAATAATAGTGAAACTCAAAAATAATAGTCATGTCAAGATACCTTCATGATGTAAAAACCTGTTATAATCCCTTCTTTTCATTTGGCCCCCGACCAGTTTCTATTGCTTTTATTTGGCCCCAGATCTAAAAGAGTCCTGTTGAAAGGCAGTATTATAACCTACCATAAACTACAAGACAGACTTTTATTATTGTGCCTTTTTACTTTCCTTTAGAACGTCAAAAACATTGCAAATCTTGACTATAATCTATCCAATTTCACAAGAAGAAGAACAATGCTTTTTCCATGTTTACTATGATAAATAAGACCAGACTGGGGCAGACTTGTGGTGACCGGCAGACAGCGATGACAGCGACGACAGGAGCCAGAGCCGATCGTTTTGGGCTGAAACTGGTCCCTATCCTCCCCACAGCACCAGTGGGTGAGGGAGGCTTGCCCGTGCGCCCCGCCTGGTTAAGCCCTCACATAATAAGCCCATCATCAAATCCACGGACTCTCGGCACAAAGGAATTGCATCAAGAAGGATTAGACTTATCACACCCACGCACGAACACTGCCCACGTAATAATGCTTCTGCCACGGACGCAAACAAAAGCCATTGTAATCTCAGTCTGTTAGAATGTATGTTGCATTTGATCATCTTTTAATCTGCTCTATTAGGACTCAATACATTCTTACATAGTAAAAAAACCAAACAAAAATACATTTCTATACACCTGCAGCCAGACTAGACCAACCAGACTTAACTACATTCTGACACAGCAGGAGGGTCTGCGATTACAAATTGCAGAACTGGGAATATATGGAACTTGCCCTGCATCCAAATGAATACTGGCTTCTCCTTCCTTGTCATTTTTATTGATCTTTGTGGCATAAAATTGACCAAAGTGGCGGTAAAAGCATCTTTAAACGGTGTTAAATGTCTCTGTGTCAAACCTGGTCTCATCAAAGATCGCTATTGAAACACAAGAAAGGAAGGACAAGGAGGTGTTCTGGTTCAATTCAGATGCAACCACCGCCGCAATATTCTCGATAGCTTAATACAGCACTATTTACTGTGAGAAAAAGCAGGCACAAGCAGGTTTGTTGTGTATATTCATGTAAGATCAGACAAGATGTTTGATTCAGAATATTAACACCATTTCATAAAAACAAAATGACATAAAAATTGACATACATGTGTTGAAAAGGAGTTGGATAGAAGTGTTTTGCTTTCTGCAGACACTTCCTGTTTCCTCTGATTGACTCTTTAGCCGTCCAATCAAGCGCGACCAAAAGCGGCTCCCAAATCAGCAGAGAATTCAAAGACACACGTATTTGAAAACGAATATTGCTAAATTGTATGGTTCTGGCTGGCTCCGGGTAATACACACCGGAGCATTGAACTGACCATTCCTCAAAAATATACCACTGCAGGTCATTGAGGTCAGGACATGCTCAGTCAGCGTCACTGCGTCTGACCCAAAAGCTGTGGAAGACCCCCGCTGACATCCCGCACACTTCCATAGGCTTCTTTTCGCCCCCTCCCTCCCATGTGGACTGACTAGTTTAACTTAGCGGCCTGAGTAATGACTGTTGTCAAATACACCCAGCAGGAGGCGTCTGCATGGGCCACGATATATCCATAATATTCTGCTTGTCGGGTTACAAAGTAATTGTAACGGGTGAATAATAATCCATCACCATTTGAACGCATCTACCCAATAGTAGATACTGTAAGGTGCACTTTTGTCAATGCACTAGGACTGGAAAACTTGCTTTAGCACTTTGAAATTTGATTGTACATAATATACCTTGCGCAAAAGAGACTATATTTTAACTTTTTTAACATGTTTGCACACTTCCTGTCTTTGCAAATGATTCTATCTATGCCAAATGTGACGTGTACATTTCTCCATTGTGAGATCAATCAATTTTTTCCTATCTAGGGCTGGGCGATATGGGCAAAAACAAAATATCTCAATATTTATTTTCTAACTCCCGATAACGATATTGTCGCGATATCTTTAAAATCAATCATTTTTACACAAAATGATCTGTAATGTTTGGCTGCAGGGGCATCTATAGATAAAGATCTAAATAGAAGCTTCACACTTCTTTTCAAAACATGCACAAACATATTAACATTAAAAATCAAATTCAAGTAACATAGAAAGAACACATCCAAAAAGGCTCATTATTTACTGAAATGTACAAATAAAGCAGTGATTGGCTTTTTAGGCACACATTAGACCAAACGGGCATCTGTCCTTCTCTAATTGTAATATGTATGTAAAAAGAAAAAGGACGATAATAAAGCATATCTTCAAATTGACTTTCACGATATTATTGTCTACGATATATTTTGCCCACCCCTGTTCCTATCTTGTGTCTTTCAGCCATAAATCTCAACAAAAGTGACAAGTGTCAATTGGAAACAGTGTCACTACTATTGACACCGTTTCCAATTGACACTTGTCACTTTTGTTGTACATAATTATTGTCACTTTTATTGTACATATATATCCTGCATGTAACATGTTTGCACATTTCCTCCCTTTGCACAATCTGAGTGTCTCTATCCATGCCAAATGTGACATGTAAATTTCTCCTATGTGAGATAAATAAAGCTTATCTTTTCTTATCTTATCTTAAAAAGGGCTGGGATTCTGTTCAGGCTTTCTATCAAAACAGAATAGAAAGAATTATCATTAGACTCTGTAGTCAACAGCCCCACTGCTCTCTGATACCAAACTGAAGAGTGGAAAAGTTCGAATCAATATCAACCTAACACAGTTTTCGCCCCCTATACAATCAATATGGGAAAATATATAAAATCACATTATGAATCAATTATAGAATTTACAGTAATTACATTGTAAACATGATAGAAATGTACATACATACATATATACATTTAGGGATTTCTGTTTTTGTATGTATAGATATTGGTGGATCTTGTTGTGGCTCAGAGCATGTGTACTTAAAGCAGCTCTTGATGTTATATTGAGATCCTGGCAAGAGTTTTATTGACCAAGAATCTCCAGCGTTCATCTAATTGTCTAATACTTATAGCTTACTGTCAGGAAAACTGGATTTTGAGCTTTTGAAAATGGTTGAAAATGAATTAAACATACATTTTGACAGTTAAAAAGTAGGTAAAAGGACTTGTCATTCAGAAAGTTTGATTTCGTGAAGCTGCTTGTAACGATGACCAAATGCAACGTGAGCAGTGTGTGTTTGTTGACATCGTCTGGCCGATTGCAGCTGATGGATGCGGTGTCGGTGAGAGGCTGACAAAGGGGGAAGGAAAGACAAAAATAATGGTCGGATGAATACAGACGGACAAAAAGCCAGAGGAAGTTAAGCGTACACTGCTTGGACACACCAAAGTGCACTAAAACAACACGGTTCATTTGTCTGCACTGATGGGAGGACAAAAAAATAGATTCAAAGCATGATGGAGGACAGGTGCGGGAGCTTTAGAGACAGAAAAGTCAAGAATATGAATTGAATATCTTTTTAAACATCCGAGCATATACAGATTGTTTGTGCCGTAAGGTCAAAAATATGTGGTTTACATTTGTACGTAAAAAGCCTTATTAAATCATAAATACATAATGTCCAGAGCTCTGAAGACTGACCTCCAAACGGATAATTGAATTAATTCCGATCAAAAACTCAATTTGATTCAAATGCCATCGTTCGCCTCAAAATATTTTTCCGATGATTTGATTTGAGATGAAAAACCTGTCCTTGTTTATTGAGTTTTATCAGTAGTCCAATGAGGTCCATTTGGTCTTCTGTTCTGATAGATGCTACCGGTTGATTATTTTTTAAGACCAGACGGGCTTTTTTTGTAAACATAGAGGCTGAGGAGAACAAACACTGACGCTGGATCAAAGAGGCAATAATAGAAAGGAGGAATTATATTTGCGTTTTCAGACACAATACATATAAAAAACTAATTAACATCTACAGATTTCCATGTCATTACTTGTTTTGCCATTTTTTTTAAATCAATATCATTTTTTGCTCATTGCTTTGGACGATAACAATACCACCCCCCCTCCAACCCCATCCTTTCCCTCCTCCACCAACATATTCTGCTCTGCTGTGTTTGTAATGTATGTTTTGGATTTGTATCTTACGGTGTTATCAGGTAAAGAAAAAAAAAAGGAATAATGTGCTTCCGGGAATACAAACTGGGACGAGGGGGCTTCATTACTCTCACCAGGGACGTGCAGTCAGGGGAGGCAGGGGAGGCAGAGCCTCACCTGCCATTATTGGAAACTAATAATTATTTTAGTTTAAATATATAATTTATATCCACTGTCCTATGCTTTTAATGTATATTCGGCACGGTTCCCATCAGTTTTGATCATTTCTGAAGTCAAAATCGCCGAAATCCCGTTATTCCTATTCAAAGAGACGAGGTGAGGCAGCGCTCCTGCATGCCTCACCCCAGACTGCTCCCTCACAGTGTGTGTGTGTGTGTGTCTGAGTGCACTCAGCTCGTGCAGTTGATATATCACCGTTTGTTTCAAATATCCTGCTTTAAAAACATTTTTTAAACTCCTCTTAGTGTTTAGTAGTGTATTGCACGTATGTGTGTACAATTTATATTTAGTTTAAGTCTTTTGATCGTAGATGAACACACAAGGAAAAAGCTTGGCGTGAGGCAGGCGGTATCTGTGCCTCACCGCTAGGGGTGATAGTGAGCATAAAGTTCATACCAGAGTTGCTAACAAACAATCAGCCCAAAATGCTATTTCTTTTGCTGGAAAATGGATGATTTGAATGAAGATTTTTTTTCTCAATTGGACTTTCAAACAAAGAAAGAATTAATATAGACTGGGAGACCACCACTGGACTTACGAGGTTAGTCCGGCTGCGGGGGAGGAGTTTGTTAATCTGTGTTTTATGTTGAACATTGACAGATACCGGCAAAGTAGTGCTTTTCCGAAAAACACTGATTCAAACACTGCTCAAGAGTTCTGCAACTTGTTTAAATTATTGTTTATGTTCCTCGCGTCTCTCTCTCCTCGCGTCTCTCTCTCCTCGCGTCTCCGTCTCTCTGCTCCTCGCGTCTCCGTCTCTCTCTCCTCTCTGTCTCTCTCTGCTCCTCTCTCCTCGCGTCTCTCTCTCCTCGCGTCTCTCTCTCCTCGCGTCTCTCTCTCCTCGCGTCTCCGTCTCTCTCTGCTCCTCTCTGTCTCTCTCTGCTCCTCTCTCCTCGCGTCTCTCTCTCCTCGCGTCTCCGTCTCTCTCTGCTCCTCTCTGTCTCTCTCTGCTCCTCTCTCCTCGCGTCTCTCTCTCCTCGCGTCTCTCGCACCTGCGCTTCTTAAAGATGTTGTTTGATGCGGAGCAGAGTCAGCAGCTAGATTTGTTGTGAGATTATTAAAAGAAGCTGGTTCTCTTATCTTTACAGTATATAAAGTTTGTGGATGTCATTGCATTGGTGATTAAATGCTATTTTATTTGAATAATGATTGTAAATCTGACTTTTAAAGTCAGTGCCTCCCCAATCACAAACCTCACCGCACGTCCCTGACTCTCACACACCTGGGATTCTATCGTGAACAGGTGGGACTGCAGGTGGCGCTGAAGTCCTGCCTCTGGTGGTAGAAAGACGGCACCAAAAATTGTAAAAGGCCTTGTCTAGAGGTGGAATCAAACCCAGGACCTTCTCACTGTGAAGAATACTAAATCCAGATCAAAATGGATTTAAAGTAACTGTTCTCAAATAATGTAAAAGAGAATCCACTTGTAAAGTTGTAGCAGTGATTTCTTGCTAATACCAATAATTAGGGACCTTTTTACAATGTTTTCATATTCTAGAATATATTAGAACTCATATTTTACCAGAAGGAATCATAGAATGTGTAGATATTCCCTTTGTCTCTGTAGAAATGCAGTATACATGCCATTTAAAACCCCATAAATATGACATTCAGTCTCCGCGCAAGACCATGCCACAAATTCTACCTCAATTATTTTGTATTCTTCAGTCCTGTGTGAAATATGCAGTGTGTGTGTGTTTGATGTGTTGTGTGTGGGAGTGCAGCGTTGGTGCTGAAAGGGTGTGGGCAAGAACCTGACCCAGGACCACAGCTTCGTGGCGGACGAGTCTTTGAAGCCTTGGCTCCACCGTGGACCTCAGTATCTAAAGGAGAAGGCTGAAATAGGTCTGCTCTAATGTGGCTCCACGCTGCTCCTGTGTCCAGAGCCCACAAGAATACATTCATTATACACCACACAGGACCATTAGCTTTAGCTTGTGTTGGCTTCACGACCACAATAGAGAGAAGACAAACGACTAAATATATCTGGAGGCGCAGACGGACATGCCTTACATTATCGGCTGAAGGTGGACTGTCACTTCCAAACTTGTGAGTGAATGATAAGACTGGGCTGTGTGTTTGTTTTTATAGGTCATTAAAGATGGCTTGATTTTCTTTAGATGACGCAAGATTTGTTGAAAAAAATGATCAAGGTTCAAGAATCAATAACATTGAATCAGTCTGAACTGTGGCGTCGCTGGAACAGTCGTCTGCT